AATTAATCACTTCATTATTATATTTATTAAACACTTTTTTTTTATTTTTATTTATTAATCTTTTTTATTAAATTAATCACTTATTTATTAAATTATCATTTTATTTATTTATTTATTTAATCGTCTTTTTTTTATTTTATTTTTTATTTATTAACTATTTTTTTTTAATTAGAGATTAATCAAAATGCCAGAAGTCTCTTACCTTAACAAACGTTATACAATCTCTGCAGCAATTAATGAGTTAAACAGTTATCCTGTTGGCACCAAACGCCAAGTGTAAATCATGCAGCGAGAAACTTTGGGCTTTCCGAAGCTACTCTTCGACGTGCAATCAAAAAAGGTGGCCCTCCAAATCATTAGGGTCCGTCTACAATTCTTACAGAACATGAGGAAAACCAACTTGTTAGATATTTCATAAACATGCAACAGCTTGGATTTGGTTTAACTAAGTCTAGAGTAAACCATTGCGTGATAGAAATAATTTACTACAATAAATGACTACATCCATTTGAAGATAAAGGGCCAGGTTGAGACTGGTGAACTCATTTCATGAGACAACATCCTGAATTATCATTTCACACCCCTCAAGAATTATCCAAGCTCACGCACAAAGAGCCAATCCAATAATCTTTAAAGACCATTTTAATAAACTTGAACAAATAATTAACGAAAATTCACTTATAGCAACACAAATTTGAAATATGGATGAAACCAGATTCGTTCTTGTACCTAAGCTAAAAAAAGTTATTGCAAAAAAGGGCTTGCGTCAGGTCCATAAAGTTGCACATGGTAACTCTCATGAGCATATTTCAGTTGCACCAACAATCTCAGCTGCTGGCTCGTACATTCCACCTTTAGTTATCTATAAAGTAAGTATGATAAAAAAAAAAAAAAAACAGTTTAAAACTTGTGATGATTAAAGTCCGAATACTCTATTTTTAAAAAAAATTTACTATCTCTACTATAAGGGTGTTCACACAATTCCCGATTTGCTACAAGGCGCACCTCCTGGAGCAGTAATGAGTTTTACAGATACCAGATATATGTGTGAGAACCTTTTCCAAATGTACCTTAGCCATTTCACTAACTTGATCTCACCAATTTGATCAGTTTTACTAATGCTTGATGGTCATAAGAGCCATATCAGCTATATGTGCATTGATTTTTGTTACCAAAATGGAATATTTCTTTATGCGCTTCCATCACACACAACTCATATTTTACAACCATCTGAAATTCCTTTTGCAAAATTGAAAAAGGAATTTGGAAAACAGTATGATAAATATTACAATACTACTAGCAAAGTAGTAACAAAATACAACTTCACAAAACTTTTTGGACCAGCTTTCATTGAGACTTATGCATCGTCTGCTATTTGTAATGCTTTTAAAGCTACAGAAATATGGTCATTTAACCCCAAGGCCATTAGTCCTGATCATTTAAACCCCTCACTAGCAACAAAACGATTCAATATTGTATCTTCTTCTAGCAGCCTTCAAAACTGGTTACATCTTTTCTACAATCAACTACTAAACTAAATCATTCTCATTATATCTGCATAAATTTTATCCAGTTAATGTCAGAAAAGGAGATGCTTAAAAATGAAATTAAATCACTAAAAGTTCAACTTACAATAATCCAAGAGAAATTAGGAACCTATAAAAGTCCTAGAATAAGTTCTTTACGTTTAGTTTTCAAGTACATCCCTCATGTTCTGCAAGCTGGACCTTCAGATACTTCCTCAGTGAACCAACAAGAGCCTGGTCCCTTCCCTAAAAAAAGAAAGATGCTTCTATTTGCACAACTTCTTACTAACGACGAAAGTTGGCAGAAGTTGAAAGAGACAAATAAAGAAGCAGAAAGGAAAGTTGAAAAGAAGAAACGGAAAAAAGTGTTGGCAGCCCAGAAAAAAATTGAATGACAGCAAAAATTAGAACAAAAAAAGGAAGAGCGTAAGCGAAAAAAACGAGAAAAAAAAGTGCATAAAGGTAAAATGCAGTAAAAATAGACTTACTATTAAAAAGTTTATGTTAGTTAGGTTAAATACATATCATTCAATAAAGCATTAAACTAAAAAAAAATATTTAAAAATGTGATTTCCAATTTCGAAGATCCGTTAAAGCAGATCAAGTTTGATTGCCCAATATAATGTAAAACAAGTTGATTATTTTAATTATTAACTACTTGAACGAAACTTTAAGTTAAAAAACTAATGATTTTTACTACATAGTTACTTCATTCTACATAAAAATTAAAAAATTTAATATACTAGCTTTGCATTATTGACAGAATCGCTCCTAAGACAGGTTGGTGAATATTAAAGTTAAGTTT